ATCACTTTAAATATCGGTTAGAAGTAGTAAAACAAACCTAAAATACATAGTGTTGTTCCACTTTATTTTATCTTCAGACATCTGACCTATTTTCAGCCTTCGTCCCTACTAAAGTTATTTAATTAAACCTTTTTATCATGTTATACTGTAAAATGCCAAATATGATGCGCACTTTTTAAACTTTTCTTTTCTTTCTTTTGCTTATTAGTTTCACTCATTCTACTAACAGATAGTAGATGAGTTTTACTTTTGTTTTGTTAAATTCTTCGCCTTTTTTTATATTTTATGTAGATATGTTTATGTTATAATAAAAATTAATATGAAAAAGTACATTATGACGAGGCACAAGCTTGGTTAAATCAGTAATAAAAACTTATTATTATTGTCATGTATATAGTGTTAGGCTTTAAATCACAGCACCCTCTCTGACTAACAGTACTAACACTATCTGTCTATATGTTTTTAAAGTAGGTAAAAAAATACCTGTATATAATGTAAATAAATGTTAGTCATTGACAAAAATATTTTAATGTTAGGGTCCAAGTTTGTGTTTTTGCTTAGTAGAGTACTACTGATGCCTTGAACGGACTCTGAGTGTACCCCCAAAAAAAAAAAAACGTCATGTGCCCAACCTTATTAAAGAAGTGTGTTATATTCCATAATATTATCATGTGTTTTGTTATATGATCCGATAATCACTTTAAATATCGGTTAGAAGTAGTAAAACAGAACCTAAAATACATATTGATGTTACTCAGAGTTTCACTCTATGTTATCTTCAGACAACTGACCTATTTTCAGCCTTCATCCCTACTAAAGTTATATAAGTAAACCTTTTTATCATGTCTACGCTTCGAGACGGGTTCGGAACGTTTGTTTAAAACAGTGTGCTTAGGGGAATTAATGATAAAATGATTTTTGTTACATCGTTTGGTTTTATTTGTGTAGGCTATATCTCTGCTATTAATGGATCACAGTATTTTGTAATTTTAATCATACAGTTTAAGTTGTCGGATATGTTAATAATCGAGCTAACTAAAACTTCGATCCAACATCTCATAATCACTATAAATGTTGGTAATGTCAGCGATAAGCCGGATGTGTTGATAAACCATCTAAATAAAAATCCGATCCCTACATATTATAAACACCGGCGACAAGCCGGATGTGTTTATATACCATCTAACTTAAACTGCGATCCGTACATATTATAAACACTATACATATTGGTAATGTCAGAGACTAGCCGGGTGTATTGGTGTACCATCTAACTATCGTGCACCTTATAATCCCGATAAATATTGGTAATGTTAGAGACTAGCCGGGCGTATTTGTGCGTTGTCTAGTGATTGGTGAAACGACATCTGATATCTTGCAAAATTGGATTGTAATGTTATTTGTGTGTATTTATTTTGCATTGTGACTCCCTTTTTATCTCCTCTCTTCAGTTCCGTAAATTTATAAAATGAAAGAGCGGAAGTGACGACAGTGATTATCCGCGTCGTTATTAAAGCTCTCATTTAGGGAATGCACTGATAGCTTTGTTAAAGCAAATATTTTGATGACTTAATTCCTTATAGAAACAATTACCTACGGAACGTGATTTAAACATTAAATTATTAACCTCTAAGTAAAAAATTATTAATCCAAGAGAGCGTACAAAATCTTTCTAAATGATTGTATTTCTAATTGACTTGATTTGTTGTTTATTATAGAAATGTCTTGTAGGATTTGTTTATCAATTGATAAATAAAATAATGACATCTCTAATTTGACTATGATTTAGATAATAGACTAGTACCTACGGAAGCTCAATTACGACATGTTTGAATTTCGAAAAATACTTTTGAATTTGAAATTCAATTATGCTTGCTGATGATGCTCAAATTGTTTTTCTCCTATGTCTTCGTGCCGTCAGTTCGACTAATAAGACATTAAATTGTACTCTTATGAGGAGATTACTAGTTGAAAGATGAATACACAATACCTTGACCATTGGGAATAGGCAATTTGTTAGTTTCCTCGACAATACAATATGTTTTCTTCAGTTCATAACATCTCCTTTACTTCATATCGTTTAGTGAGAAGCAATCTGGAACAAGGATTAAAAGTTCAAATAGTCCATTTCTATTATCATTAAAACAGTCTAGTGATTCTTATTTCAATAATTCCAAATTAAAAAATAATAGAACAATCAAGTAACTTTCACGAACTTCATTTTGAGTTGAAGTGCGATATCTGATAGCCGCAGAGTTTTGTTTCATATTTTGATATTTTCGATATCAAAATCATGGAGTTGTATATACAAAAGTAATTGGAGCCCAATTAACCATACTGGACCTGTTACATTAAATTATTATAGATTAATACCAACTTCTGGTTTAGGCCGATGTGCAAGAACTTGTTCATCTCTCTACAACTCGGATCAGATTTATTATCAAGGAGGGGATTGTTATTGTTTAGCACCGGTTTATGAAGAATCCAGCCTGGTTTCTGGAACGGTTACGACCAATAGAGAATTTTGGACGATTCGTCAAGGTTTGTTGAATTATTTCATGTCGATTTTCATGGTCCGTTTTGATTCTCATGGTGATGGAAAATGTCATTCCAAGATCATTCTTAAAACTATTAACCGTATCCTCTTGAATCTTGTTCCAAAACCTCAATGAATAAGTAGGCCTGATATGGTGATTGTCACCTTCGAGCGAGTGAATGCTCAATCTACTGGACACTGTGACTAGCTCACTGGGACTGGGACTGGATTTGTCAATTAGACACATCTTGGGAGTCGCATAGCATAGGCTAAGTTGCAAAATCGTATTTTAAAAACATAAAGTCGAAAATGCAACCACCGATATAATTTCAACAGACAATGCTAAATCGTGGCCACTAGATGCTAAGTCGTGCAACGAGATGCTAATATCGTAACCACGAGATGCTAATTCGTGACCACAAGTTCAAAAGTTGTGACTACGAGATACTAAGTCGTGGCCACGAAATACTAAGTCGTAACCACGAGTTGCTAAGTCGTAACCACGAGTTGCTAAGTCGTAACCACGAGTTGCTAAGCCGTAACCACGAGATGCCATGTGATGCTAAGTCGTGTTGTTAATTTGTGGCCACGAAATGCGATGTAGTTGTCACGAGATACAATGTCGTAACCACGAGATGCTAAGTCGTGGCAACAAGATGTAGTGGTCAAGATTTATATTTTATTCTTCTCGTGTTCCCTCCATGCTTCCATAGGGATAATAAATGATAAATGATGCAAGATAAATGATAAATGAATATGATATATGATAAATGATAAATGATAAGACACATGATATAATTATGTTAACTATTCTATCTTTTCAGGTGTCAGCTATTGTACCGAGAGGGGATACACGATATTTTTAGACCAGAGATATTGTTTAAAATATTTTTCACGAACATCAACTTGGTTTAACGCTGAATCAACTTGTCGACAAGATGGTGGTCATTTAGTTTCACTTTATACTCAACAAGATTTAACTAATTTGAGATCACTGTATACAAGTAAGTAAATCAGATGTAGAAAAGAAACTGTGGTAAAAAAAAGACAAATATTTGATTTACAATGTTCCCGTCTACTAGCTGGTACTTGTTGTCTATACCAAATCAAAGCATTAATCTTTCCTTGAATATCTGTACCCACAAGATTGAAATAATTAATTTCCATGTTTTGTTGAGCAGCAATCGTAGTAGAGATTCGTCATTTTTGCAGAATTGTCATTAAACCACGATACAAAATAATTATTGCAATTCTGTGAAATAATTCTGTGAACATGTCCGGATCGGATAATTCCCAACTAAAAACCATACAGGATGCAACAATTTGGTAATAGTTAAAATATAATCCCCGTCTCTCCTGCTGTCCAATGATAGACTAGTTTTTATTTATATTGATATTGTAAAGTGAACTTCAGTTTATGTCAGTAATTGTAGTAATCATTTATAACTTTATCAAAAACAAAAACTGAAAATGTGACCAAAAAAACACTGAAAATACAATGTTGACTCCTGGAACATAATAAGATGATATTGAACTTTAAAAATATGATATTCTTCTGTTTTTCTTCAGATGACACAATAGTATTTATTGGAGGCCACAGAACATTGGATGGTACTAAATTGGATTGGATAACTGGTGGAACAATACATGAATCTTTTTGGAATTTTGGTGAACCAAACAATGTCGGTGGTGGAGAACGGTTTGTAGTCGTACTAGAAGGTGGAAAATTATATGATTCCAATTGCAAAAAACGATTTCACTTTGTTTGTCAAATATTATAATTGATCCGATAATCATTATACATGCTGGTTAGCAACAGTCAAACAGAACCTAAAATACATATTGATGTTACTCAGAGTTTCACTCTATGCTATTTTCAGACAACTGCCTTTTTTCAGCCTGCGTCCCTACTAAAGTTATTGAAGTAGAACTTTTTATCATGTCTACACTTCGACATATTCTAATCACTATAAATGATGGTAATGTCAGTGACATGCCGGATGTGTTAATATACCAGTTAACTAGAAATTCGATCTGTACATCTTATGGCTATAGTATAATACATAACTCATACTTATGAAGTTGTACAGAGTTCTACTAGATATGATTTCATGTTTATACATTATATATATATTTAAAACCTCCAGTTCATATTAATTAAAGGATTTGAAAAGTTCAATAAAAGCACAAGCAATATTTAAAGTGCACAAAATAGAGAATTGTTAATCAATGAACTTTTTAAACGATTTGATCGTTGTCTAGTGATTGGTGAACAGCATCTGAAATCTTGCAAAATTTGGTTGTAATATTATTTGTGTGTATTTATTTTGTGTTATATTAGGTTATAGTATTATTTATTCAAAAACATGAGAATGTGTTCTTTTGTTTTTCTCCAATGACGAGTCGATTCTGAGAGTATTATGAATTGATATATTGTAATGTTCTAAATTCAGCATCTAGTTGTCTTTTAATTTAAGTACCGTTTTATCTGCCCTTTTAAGAACCGTTTTATCTGCCCTTTTAAGAACCGTTTTATCTCCCCTTTTAAGGACCGTTTTATCTGCCCTTTTAAGAACCGTTTTATCTCCCATTTTAAGAACCGTTTTATCTCCCCTTTTAAGTACCGTTTTGTCTGCCCTTTTAAGTACCGTTTTATCTGCCCTTTTAAGAACCGTTTTATCTCCCCTTTTAAGTACCGTTTTATCTGCCCTTTTAAGTACGTTTTATCTCCCCTTTTAAGTACCGTTTTATCTCCCCTTTTAAGTACCGTTTTATCTCCCCTTTTAAGCACCGTTTTATCTCACCTTTTAAGTACATTTTTATCCGCCCTTTTAAGTACTGTTTTATCTACCCTTTTAAGTTCCGTTATATCACCCCTTTTAAGTTCCGTTTTATCACCCCTTTTAAATACCGTTTTATCTGCCCTTTTAAGTACCGTTTTATCTCCTCTTTGTAGTAGCGTTTTATCTCCCTTTTAAGTACCGTTTTATCTGCCCTTTTAAGAACCGTTTTATCTCCCCTTTTAAGTACCGTTTTATCTGCCCTTTTAAGTACGTTTTATCTCCCCTTTTAAGTACCGTTTTATCTCCCCTTTTAAGTACCGTTTTATCTCCCCTTTTAAGCACCGTTTTATCTCACCTTTTAAGTACATTTTTATCCGCCCTTTTAAGTACCGTTTTATCACCCCTTTTAAAGTACCGTTTTATCTCCCCTTTTAAGTACCGTTTTATCTTCCCTTTGTAGTACCGTTTTATCTCCCCTTTGTAGTACCGTTTTATCTCCCCTTTTAAGAACCGTTTTATCTCCCCTTTTAAAGTACCGTTTTATCTCCCCTTTTAAGTACCGTTTTATCTTCCCTTTGTAGTACCGTTTTATCTCCCCTTTGTAGTACCGTTTTATCTCCCCTTTTAAGAACCGTTTTATCTCTTCTTTTCAGATTCCCTTTATCTCCTCTCTTCAGTTCCGTAAATTTATAAAATGAAAGAGCGGAAGTGACGACAGTGATTATCCGCGTCGTTATAAAAGCTCTCATTTAGACTCCGACGTTACGTTACGTTACGAAAATTCAGTTGAACTAAAGGTCAGATTTCCATTCTTAATGTACTGATAGCTTTCTTAAAGCAAATATTTTGATGACTTAATTCCTTATAAAAACAATAACTAACGGAACGTGATTTTAAAATTAAATTATTAACCTCTAAGTATAAAATTATTACTCCAAGAGAGAGTACAAAATCTTTCTGAATGATTGCAATTTCTAATTGACTTGATATGTTTTTTATTATAGAAATGTCTTAGAGGATTAGTTTATTAATGGATATATGGTAAATAAAAAATATGACATCTCTAATTTTACTATGAATTTATTTAATAGAACTACTAGTACCTACGGAAGCTCAATTACGACAGGTTTGAATTTCGAAAAATACTTCAATATGCTTGCTGATGATGCTCAAATTATTCTTCTCCTATGTCTTCGTGCCGTCAGTTCGACTAATAAGGCATTAAATTGTACTCTAATGAGGAGATTACTAGTTGAAAGATGAATACACAATACCTTGACCATTGGGAATAGGCAATTTGTTAGTTTCCTCGACAATACAATATGTTTTCTTCAGTTCATACCATCTCCTTTACTTCATTTCGTTTAGTGAGAAGCGATCTGGAACGAGGATTAAAAGTTCAAATAGTCCATTTCTATTATCATTAGTGATTCTTATTTCAATAATTCCAAATTAAAAAATAATAGAATAAACAAGTAACTTTCACAAACTTCATTTTGAGTTGAAGTGCGATGTCTGATAGCCGCAGAGTTTTGTTTCATATTTTGATATTTTCGATATCAATATCATGCACGTGTACATACGAAAGTTATTGGAGGCCATTTGACTACACTGGACCTGTTACATTAAATTATTATAGATTAATACCAACTTCTGGTTTAGGCCGATGTGCAAGAACTTGTTCATCTCTCTACAACTCGGATCAGATTTATTATCAAGGAGGGGATTGTTATTGTTTAGCACCGGTTTATGAAGAATCCAGCCTGGTTTCTGGAACGGTTACGACCAATAGAGAATTTTGGACGATTCGTCAAGGTTTGTTGAATTATTTCATGTCGATTTTCATGGTCCGTTTTGATTCTCATGGTGATGGAAAATGTCATTCCAAGATCATTCTTAAAACTATTAACCGTATCCTCTTGAATCTTGTTCCAAAACCTCAATGAATAAGTAGGCCTGATATGGTGATTGTCACCTTCGAGCGAGTGAATGCTCAATCTACTGGACACTGTGACTAGCTCACTAGGACTGAGACTGGATTCGTCAATTAGACACATCTTGGGAGTCGCATAGCATAGGCTAAGTTGCAAAATCGTATTTTAAAAACATAAAGTCGAAAATGCAGCCACCGACATAATTTCAACACATAATGCTAACGAAATGTTAAATCCTGGCCACTAGATGCGACGAGCTAATATCGTAACCACAACCACGAGATGCTGATATCGTAACCTCGAGATGCTAATATCGTAACCACGAGATGCTAATATCGTAACCACGAGATGCTAATATCGTAACCACAAGTTCAAAAGTTGTGACTACGAGATACTATGTCGTAACCACGAGTTGCTAAGTCGTAACCACGAGTTGCTAAGTCGTAACCACGAGATGCCATGTGATGCTAGGTCGTGATGTTAATTTGTGGCCACGAGATGCAAAGTAGTTGTCACGAGATACAATGTCCTAACCACGACATGATAAGTCGTAACTACGACATGAAATTCGCAACCACGTTATATTTTATTCTTCTCGTATTCCCTCCATACTAATATAATAATAAATGATAAAATAATATGATATATTTGACACGTGATATAATTAAGTAACTATTCTATCTTTTCAGATGTCAGCTATTGTACCGAGAGGGGATACACGATATTTTCAGACCAGAGATATTGTTTGAAATATTTTTCACGAAATGCAACTTGGTATCACGCTGAATCAACTTGTCGACAAGATGGTGGTCATTTAGTTTCACTTTATACTCAACAAGATTTAACTAATTTGAGATCACTGTATACAGGTAAGTAAATCAGATGCAGAAAAGAAACTGTGGTAAATAATTTTTGATTTACAATGTTCCTGTCTACTAGATTGTCGTTGTCTATACCAAATCAAAGCATTAATCTTTCCTTGAATATCTGTACCCACAAGACTGAAATAATTAATTTCCATGTTTTGTTGAGCAGCAATCGTAGAAGAGATTCGTCATTTTTGCAGAATTGTCATTAAACCACGATTTAAAATAATTATTGCAATTCTGTGAAATAATTCTGTGAACATATCCGGATCGGATAATGCCCAACTAAAAACAGGATGCAACAATTTGGTAATAGTTAAAATATAATCCCTGTCTCTCCTGCTGTCCAATGATAGACTAGTTGCAGTGCGTTCTTCAAACGCACTGCATTGTTTTGCAAATGACTATTTTTTTTTTTTTTTTTTTTTTTTTGTCTACTTCTGGTCACGCTCCCCAGCCAAAACTGCACATGTCACACATTGTTTGAAACTATTATTTCTTATACTTTGCGTGTCGCTACTGTTTAAATGTAAAATGACGCATTTTCTTCCAACCGGAAATGACGTATGACGATAACCATTCATTACGTATTTCGAATTTCTGCTCTAATTCTGCATCTATTTTGACCGTAACTTTTGTTTTGTTCATTACTTTAAACCAATGACTAAAAGATAGCACTTTATAAAATTTCAGATTTTGACTTTTGTCGCTGACTTTTTTTGTTTTAATTTTAGCGTTTTTTTCAACTTCTACAATTTTATTTCAATCGATCTAAAAATTTAACAGTAGATAAGCATTATGATTCCTGACAAAAAACTATTTTCAAAATTTCAATATCACTTCCGGTTTTGACGTCATTCGCCTCTCAACTTGAAATTTCAACTTCCGGAATTTTGTAGGTATTTGAAAAATTCTTTTTGAAATTAGTTAAAATTATCCCTATAACAATTTTGGAATGAAAAAATTTGAACCGGAAGTAACGTGTCAGACGCCATCTTGATGTGACCAATTTTTGTAAAAATCGATATTAGGCTTCAGGGGTAAATCTGATTTGTGTAATTTTGGTGTCTAAAGAATCTACAATCGATTGCTAACAAAACTTAGGAAGCCGATTTTTGAATTTTGGATTCGTATTTTTTTTATTTCCGGTTTTATGTTTTCAGTAATTGTCAAAAATATTAAGGCTCATATCTAGTGACTTTGACCTTTGGTGACCTTGTGACCTGAGCAAAAGTTGTTGCCCCTTACGAGATATATCCGATGATATCCTCACTTTTGTTGTGCATCGTTAACTTCCGGTTCTATAGCTATTAGAAAATCACGATTTTTAACTTTGAAGAGCTGTGTCACGTGACCTAATTAACATACGACAAAAATTCTTATATATTCTTTGAGTGCATAAAATCTACTTTTTGGTGATATATCACACTTGGTATTTTGATCAAGATTGCGCGTTTTAAGAATTGAAAATTTTGTACTGACTTCTATAGTAACTGTGCGTAAAATCACGGTGGCTATAATTTACCGACAGTCACCGTTGCCCTAAAAAAAGTTTAACTACGAATATCTCATGATCTAATGATTGTAAAGACTTGAAATTTTGAACATTATTTAACAATGTACACATCATCACAGACAAATTAAAATTTTTGAAGTGGGCGTGGCACATCCGGTGTGCATTTAACTTTACCTGAAATATTTGCAATTGTTATAACTCTCACAGTTTTCAATTGTCACCCTAGAAATTTTGCATGAAAATAGATCACTGCTTAGGACAATTTGTGATAAGATTACAGTTGTTTGCATTCTTTACTTTAAAAAAGGGAATAGGTTTAACAATTTTAAAAATTTTCATTTTTGATCTTTAGCATGAATGACCTTGACCTTTGCATGGTCAAAGGTCATTGGCTAAGGATGACCATTCTTACTTTGATCTTTGATGTCCGATATATACTTCCGGTTTTGCAGACGTCCAAAACAGCAATTTTCGAAACTTCAAAGGCTCATATTACTTTTATTTGACATTTGTTGACCTTTTGACCTGAACAAAAGTTGTTGCCCCTTACGAGATATATCCGATAATATCTTCACTTTTGTTGTGCATTGTTAACTTCCGGTTCTACAGCAATTTGAAAATCGCGATTTTTAACTTTGAAGAGCTCTGTCACGTGACCTAATTAACATATAACAAAATTTCTTATATATTCTTAGAGTGCATGATCTCTCCTTTTTGGCGATATATCACACTTGATATTTTGATCAAAATTGCGCGTTTTAAAAATTGAAAATTTTGTATTGACTTCTATAGTAACTGTGCGTAAAATCACGGTGTCTATAATTTACCGACAGTCACCGTTGCCCTAAAAAAAAGTTTAACTACGAATATCTCATGATCTAATGATTGTAAAGACTTGAAATTTTGAACATTATTTAACAATGTAGACATTATCACAGACAAATTAAAATTTTTGAAGTGGGCGTGGCACATCCTGTGTGCATTTACCTTTACCTGAAATATTTGAAATTGTCATAACTCGCAAAGTTTGTAATTGTCATCCTAGAAATTTTGCATGAAAGTAGATCACTGCTTAGGACAATTTGTGATAAGATTACAGTTGTTTGCATTCTTTACTTTAAAAAAGGGAACAGGTTTAACAATTTTAAAATTTTTTATTTTTGAACTTTAACGTAAATGACCTTGACCTTTGCATGGTCAAAGGTCATTGATCTAAGATGACCATTCTTACTTTGATTTTTGATGTGCAACATATACTTCCGGTTTTACAGACGTCCGAAAACAGCAATTTTCGAAACTTCAAAGGCTCATATTACTTTTATTTAACCTTTGTTGACGTTTTGACCTGAACAAAGGTTGTTGCCCTTTACGAGATATATCCGATAATATTTTCACTTTTGTCGAGCTCCGTTAACTTCCGGTTCTACAGCACATTGAAAATCGCGATTTTTAACTTTAAAAAAAGGTCTATCACGTGACCTAATTTATATAAGCGAAATTTATCTTTTGTCCTTATTACACGCAATCTATTCTTTCAAATGATATATAACACTTGGTATTTTGATTAAAATTGAATTTGAAAATTTTGTATTGACTTCTATAGTAACTTTGCGTAATTTTAACGGTTTCTATAATCCACCGACAGTCACCGTTGCCTTAAAAAAAACTACGAATATCTCATGATCTAATGATTGTAAACACTTGTAATTTTGAACATTATTTGACATTGTACACATTATTACAGACAACACAAAATTTTTGCAGTGGGCGTGGCAAATCCGGGTTACTTTTACCTTTACCATAAATAATCCAAATTGTTATAACTCGAAAAGTTTGCATTTTTCACCATCAAAATTTTACAAAAAATTAAAGCACCATTTGGGACAATATCTGATAGAGTTACATTTTGTTTAGGCCTTTTACTTTAAAAAAGAGAATAGGATTTACAATTTATAAAATTTTGATATTTTGACCATTTACATGCATAATCTTGGTCTTTAGAAGGTCAAAGGTTATTGATCTACGATGTCCATTCATACTTTTATCTTTGATGTCCGACATATATTTTCGCTTTTACAAACGTCCCAAAACAGCAATTTTCAGCACTTTTAAGGCTTATATTCTCTTTTATTTCACTTTTGTTGACCGCTTGGCCGAAACACAAATTATTGTACCTTTCCAAAAATATTTTCATTTTTGTTGTGCGAATTGAACTTTTAACTTTACAGCTATTTGAAAAGACTTTTTACTACCGAATGTTAACACCTTTTAGTACCGAATGGTATCAAATTTATGCGTCATTTCACTACCGAACGGTAAACGGTTTAAACGATTTTTTCTACTATTGAACGTTTACATGCTTTTCTTTCCGGTAAGAAATCCCATTGTCACTTTAAAATGCAACGTTTTATCGATGTATCAGGTTGGATGCGCACTGCTTCGGTACCGTTATAACGGTTCTAGTTTATATTTATATTGATATTGTAAAGTGAACTTCAGTTTATTAATGTCAGTAATTGAAGTAATCATTGTTTCATGAAATACATTTGGCTTTTAACTTTATCAAAAACAAAAACTGAAAGTGTGACCAAGAACAACTGAAAATACAATTTTGTATCCTCATTAAAAATGAAAATGTGAAGCGTAATTAGTGTCACACATATTGCTTGTAAACATTCCAGAAGGCTAGAAGTATTTTGATATTTAGATGCCGTCATCAGGAACATAATAAGATGATGTTGAACTTTAAAAATATGATATTGTTGTGTTTTTCTTCAGATGACACAATAGTATTTATTGGAGGCCACAGAACATTGGATGGTACTAAATTGGATTGGATAACTGGTGGAACTGTACACAAATCGTTTTGGGGTCGTGGTGAACCAAACAATTCCGGTCGTGGAGAACGGTGTGTAGTCGTACGAGAAAAAGGAGAATTAAATGATAGCTTATGCCGACTACGTCATCACTTTATTTGCCAAATATTAGAATTGTTCCGATTATCACTATAAATATCAATTGACACTTCGTAATTACTTCAGTGGCCGGCCAATTTTTGGATTGATTGTAATTGTTAAAATTAAATCAAAAAAAATATTGTAATTCATTTGTTATTCAAATAAAACCGCTAAAAAGTGGTGTAATAAATAGAATCATTACATATTTATCAACATTTCTTTGGCCAGTGACGGATATCCAATATGGCGGACTGGCCAGTAAAAGACAAAGCCTTGCACAGTTCACAGTAGGCGTATTGGGGGTGGGGCAGATTTTGGATGGAATTTGCACAGACTCGATCACATGGTGCCTTCAGGCCTGTGAATATCTCTAAAATTCCAATATAATGGTATTTTTATGCCAGACTGTGTTACTGGCCAGTCAATGACGATACCTCTACATGGCCAATTTTTGATAAATGGCAAATTTTTTTCGGTGGTCTCCTATGCAATTATGGATGGAATGTTTTGTGCCAGTTAGGTTCTGAGATGCGATTCTGGCATATTTAGGTGTAAGATAGGAAAAATCCTTTTTATTCCTATAATTTCTGAAATATGGCCAGTGACGGATATTCAATATGGCCGACTGGCTAGTCAAAGACGAAGCCCCTACATGACCAATTTTTGCACAGTCCACAGTAAGGGGGTGGGGCAGATTTTTTGATGGAATTGGCACAAACTCAATCACATGGTGTCTTCAGATCTGTGAATATCGCTAAAATTCCAACATAATGGTATTTTCATGCCTAACTGTGTTACTGGCCAGTCAATGACGAAGCCTCTACATGGCCAATTTTTTAAAAACGATCTACTTTGGAATTATGGATGAAATGTGCCAGTGATGTTCTGAGATGCCAATCTAACATATTTAAGTGTACAATGGGGACAAACGCTCTTTATTCCTATAATTTCTAAAATATGGCCAGTGACTGATATCCAATATGGCGGACTGAAAACTACAGTGTTATTAAGCATCAACACTCCTACGGTCGTGTTAATACTTAAAAACTATAGTTTTCAAGTAAAAAAAAAAGGGGTGCGCCAAATCCATATACTCATGTACTACTCAACCCTCGGCTTTTGCTTGAAAAATTATAGTTTTTTTAAGCATTAACACAACCTTCGGTCGTGTTAACACTTAAAACTATAATTTTCAAGCAAAAACCAAGGGTTGGTGCCCTAATACATATACTTCTTTGCTCAATAGATTTCTTCATTAAATTAACTCAGGAAAACAGGAAAAAACAGGAAAAAATTCGAAGGAAACGGTTTCTTCTATCATCTCTCATCCCAAAAGTAGCCAACTTTGTCTCGAACAACAAATCCCTTACGCTGCTGCACTTAAACATGATATTTTATACAGAAATAAAGACATAACATCCAGACATGAAGCAGACAGACAAATGATAATCGAACTTAAAAATATTTCAAATCCAACTTTCAAAGAGAGAATGCAAAGAGCATTAATGATTAAACTGTTAAAAACAAAGATGAAATTGGGCATGGGATTAGCGGATGAAATTCACAAAGAATTTTGAAAAACTAAAAACTTTTTAAAAATCAAAGTGTTTGATAAAGATGAAATATGGTCAGCAGATTTAATTAATATGCCTGTTGAAAGAGGATATAAATTTTGTTGACTCGTTATAGATTTGTACACAAGATATACCTGGGGTATTCCTCTCAAAAATAAAACAGGTTTATAAGTCAAACACACATTTAAAACAATAATGAAACAATCCGACAGACGACAGATATGGGTAGATAAAGGAAGTGAATTTTATAACAAAAATATGAAATCTCTAGGATTTGAAATTTACAGCACGCATAACTAGGGTAAGGCTGTAATTATTGAGAGATATAATAGAACTTATAAATTATTCAAAAAGTTCACGGAATTGAAATCCCAAAAATGACTTAAAATATTACCAGAGGTTGTAGATGAATACAATAACAAAATTCACTCATCTTTAGGTGTCACACCAACACAAGCCACAAATAATCCAAATATAAAGTCAATTAACGCACAACATAACTATGATAACAAATATACATACTTCAGATCAAAACGGAGTTCATCGCTCTGCTTTATACAAAGACTCTTTAAATAACTTTTATTTCTTCGATTCTTTTGGATTAGAACCAACTGAAGAGATAATGCAATTAGTGAAAGCAATCAAATTATCTACGTTTCAAATTCAATTACCAGGACAAAAGTTTTGTGGACAGCTTTCACTTTGGGTTTTATATCAGTTGAGTTTAGGAAAACAATTTGAAGAAATTATAATAAATTTAACTTAATAAAAATGGCGAATAAATTTGGATTGGGTTCTTTATATTTAGAAACTACAAAACCTAACACAACAGCGTGGATAAATAAAGCAAAACCTTATTTTGTGGAACAAATTGGAGACACACTTCAAGGTGATTTAGATATGAATAATTTTACCATAACTAATTTAAAGTTACCAGAAAATGATTATGATGCTGTTCACAAGAAATATTTAATGGATCAATTAAATTTAATTGAAGTAAATAAAGGCCATTTAAAAGAAAGAGTAAATGATGTGAACAAGAAGTAACAAATACAAGACAATCTAGTAGATTACATCAATTACAAACTTTAAGTTCATTAATATCTGATCTAGATGACAAGATTACAAAACAAAAAATAGATCTGATACAACTAATAGCCAATATTAATCCAGGTATAAGTGAAGATAGATTAACAAAATTAGAAACTATACTTATTGATAATAGTGAAATACAAAAACAAATAGTTGGTATTAAACAACAATTACTAAATCTAGTAGATAAAACTCAATTACAAACTTTAAGTTCATTAATATCTAAATTAGATGATAAGACAGCAAAGCAAAAAATAGATCTTAAACAACTAATAGATAATATTAAACCAGGTGTGAATTAAGATAAATTAGCCGCATTAGAAACTAAACTTAATGATAATAGTGAAATAGTAACTATTCAAAAACAATTACTCAATCTAGTAGATAAAACTCAGTTACAATCTTTGACTTCATTAATATCTAATTTAGATGATAAGATACCAAAACAAAAAATAGATCTTAAAGAAGTAATAGATAATATTAATCCAGGTATAAGTGAAGATAAATTAACTGAATTAGAAACCGAATTACAACAAGAACTAACAAATATTAAACAACAAATTCAACAACAGATAGAAAATATTGATGATAGTGAGTTTCAACAACAGATAACTACTAATAATAATGAAGTTTTAAAACAGGAAAAAAATATACCCACATTAGAAAACAAACTCAAGGAAAATAAAAAAATCATATTATTTCAATCTTCCATTTAAAAATATTGTTGGAAAACATGTTTCTATTACTAATAATATTGATAAAACAAAAGATTATGAATATAAAAAAATTGGATTTACAGCAACCGTTAAAGGATATTCTGTTCAAGATTTTATGTTCCTCCAAGGTATTTTTAATGAAGAAAATTCATCATATTTTATTTTCCGAGGAAAACTTTAAATTATAATTACTTTTCCTTGGCAGGTAAAAGTTGATTCAATATTCTTCACACAAAAATCAGAAACATCTAATCAATTTAAAGCTCATAAAGTTATTCAGTTTATCAATGGTAGAGAAAGTGTAGAAACCAAAGAATTGGAAATTAACGATGAAAACAGTAAGGTTTATTTGGATTGGGTAAATTTCATATGAAATTGGAGACAGAAACTCCACCATCAGTAAGTATTATTAGAAATCCAGAACCACAAAATAAAGGGGAAACAAGGAGTTATGACTTTTACGAACGAAAGACTTTGAATACGTAAAACTATATTTTGTTAATAATAGTTATTCATTCGAACATACCTCTTCAACTGATTTATTTACCTCAATTGATATTCATAAAAGTCAACAAGATAACAAATTTATAATATTTTCATCAATAATTGAAAGTGAAAAAGTTGGTGGTATATATACTTATACATGTATGATAATAATCAATATCAAAAAACGAAAAATTTCAGTTCATCTGAATAAGATTAATGATTCGAAAGAAGAAATATCTATAGTAACTGTAGAAGTTGCTATTTTTAAAACTATAGAAATTTATCATGGATCAGCGGTTGAGATGGATATTTTAGATAAAAATTATCCATCTTTTAAGTTATCAGAAATTCACTTAATTTAATGTCTTGAAAATGGAACTCGAAAGTAGACAACAATATATATGATAGACAAACAAAACGAGTTAAAAGTAAAACTAGAACAATATAATAAATGTAAGAAAAGATGGATTAGAGTTGATTCTGTTTTCAAAACACTGAGTGTAGTTCTAACAGTAGGAACAACACTTGCAACATCCGTAACTGGTGGATTAATGGTTCCAGTACTTATCCCAACTGTATTAGCCACAATTACTGCTATTCAAACTTCATCTTGTGGCTTGATTGCTATAGGTTATACATCAAAACAGAAATCTTATTATAAAAAGAAAACAGAAATCTTAAATGCCTATCTTAATAAATTATTTATATTTTTCGAAAGATCAAGAGAAGATAAGAACATAACCGTTGACGAATTGGAAAAATTCAATGAAATTTTAGATAAATTTGAGATGGAAATATCAACAATAAAAGTTTAAAAAAATACTTAAAAAAATAGATAATTAAAAAAGCATATATAAAATTATAAAAAAAACTAACGCATTGTCGTTGAAAAACACCCAGAGGAATTCTATCTTTACCTTTATCTAATCCATACACAGATGAAGATTTACAGAAAAAATGGAAAAGACAGAAAGAAATAACAAGCAATAATAATTATTTACAACATAATAATTTCACATGTTTCTATAAACATGAAACATCTAGTTTAGCGGCATGGGGTAATTCATCTAATCTACCAATGAATTTGAGAAAGATCACTGATATCAATATTGCAAATTACACCGAAGATAATTGGGAATCTTTAAGACAGGAATGGGAACCTTATGCTAAAAGAGATACCCTATGTCTTGGAGCTTGTTTGATAAAATATAACCAAGTCACGAAAGAAGTTGTAAACCAGAATATGTCCAATAATCTAACGACTCCCGCTTTATCTTTTAAGGGTTGGTATTATTTGTATCATTACGATAAAGAAATGGTTGAAGAAGAATGGTATGAAACTACTAGAATGGTTCCGAAACATACAGAAAAAGAAAATATAGAAATGTTTATTCGCATTCACACCCTTTTATAAGACATTTTATCAGACGATCTATTAAAGGAGGAAGAGTTTCGGCAAATAGAAAATTATTTGAGACGAACAAAATGGATGACATTTGTAATGTATTAAAGGAATTTGTTTCACAAAGTGAAACACCAAGTGATACAGAAAGTATTTCACCAAGTGATACACGAAGTGATACACCAAGTGAAACACGAAGTGATAACATTATTGATTTACTCAAAGAATACAGCGCAAAAAGAAGTTAATTGAAAACTTAAAAAAATAAACTGTAATAAACTAATGGCATTTGATGCTAACGGTTTGTACGCTTCAGCAATGTCAGATTTAGACAGTGAATATCCAAAAGCAGAAAGTGCTAGACCGTTTCTACCAGAAGGAGAAAAAGAATTTGTAAAACTCTTCAATAAACAAAAAATTAGACCTAGAACAACTATTTTAACAGTGTGGTTTGACTATCCCAAAAACATGTTCTTCCAACCGATACCAGCTAAAGATAAAATCACTTTCACGAATAAAGAAGGTAAACAGGAAACTGGCACTAAAATCAGGTTTAGAAATGGTTTCTGTTCAGAAGTTTTAACATCGGTTGATATTCAAGAAATAGTTAAAGCCGGTGGAAAAATACTCAGGATATTAGATGGTATAGTATACGAAGAAAATTTTAAAACTCCACCATATAGAGATTATATTTTAATTTTAAGAGATCTTAGAAATAAATATAAACGAGAAGGTAATATTGTGGGTAGTAATTGCATGAAATTGTTAGGTAATTAAGCCTTGTTTGGTAAATCTATTCAGAAGGATAGAATCACGAGTAATCATTTGTGGAATGAAGTAACTTTTCAAGCTAACTTCGACTCACATGTTAAAAACTATTAAAAAATAAATGATACTCAATATTTCGTTGAGATAGAAATTGAGGAAAAAGAGATTACTGCTGAAGATAGTAAATCTACACGACTAACACCTAGTCATTTGGGATCATTCGTTTTATCTCACAGTAAATAAATAATGAATAATTTCATTCATGTAATAAATGCATTTTATAAACATGAAATATACTATACCGATACTGATAGTTCATACCTTTCATCTAGAAATGGGATAAATTAAATCGAGCTGGGTTGGTATCTGAAAATGAATATTGTAAAGGCAAGAATGATTACGGTGATGGTGGAATCATATTTGGTTTATATTTAGCGCCAAAAATCAAATATAATATCATTCTAACTTCTGATGGTGTTTTAAAAGAAAAGAAAACGTTTAAGGGTTATTCTAATGATGATTAGACAAGTGTAGAAGATTATATTCGGTTGGCTAGTGGACATGATGTGTCGAATGAATTTAATAAAAAATGGGAAAAAAGTTTCACAAATGGAATGGTTATTCCAAAGGATGATGCTTTGATATACTGTCTATTTCTTTTTATAATATTATTCCAATCACCCATTTTTAAAGAAATGAAATTAACATATATCTGTCATAACTCTTTCACCCGCAGGTTTTCTAGTATTAACGAATATATTGCATAATTTTGCTTAAGAAAAACTTTTATGTCTGTTGGATTGAAAGATGGATTCTTTTCTTTTATATATGTATCTAAGATATCTTTTATTTCTATCTCATCGTTGTCTTCATTATATTTAAATATGTCTTGAACATCTTTCTTTGGTATATATTCTAAAGCTTTGAGGAATTGGTAATTTGATTGCTCTGGCGTTGTTGTGTAGATATATAATGAATCGAAATCTAAAAGTTTTGGTGTTGTCAACATGTTAAAGGACAAATAAGTCTTCCCAGAACCTGAGCTTCCACAAATACACATAAGCATTGGGTTACTAGGAAATATTTCTGAATGATTAAATTCTTTTTTTTTTTCTATTCTATATATTTGTTCCAAAAATCACTACTTCTCATTTATACTTTGAAAGAAAGATTCCCTCTCCAGAACGTTTGTTTTTAAAAACTATGGCATTCCCCCTATGTTTGACCTTCATTTCTCCAGTGTCGATTTTATCTATTAGATTACTTAATTCCTCTTTAACAGTTTTCTTGGTTTCTTCACTAAATCGATTCCAAATTCTTTAACTGTCCCTAATATATCTACTACTCCTGAACCTTGTGCTATCTTTTCCATTTCCATATTATGTCTACGTTGTTCACTTTTTTCAGCGTCAGCTGCTTTCTTGGCGTTGATGGCTTGTGTTATTTCAGCCGCCCCACCAGCAGTCGCAGCTGCTGCGGCCAGACCAGCAAATATCAAATGTAGGAAAGGTAAAAATCCACCTTCCTTTACACTCTTGTCAATTCTTTCCAAATCTAATAATCTCTAACTTTACAATGTTTTTATTTATCGATAATTTTTTTTAGATATTTTAATCCTTTTACCATTGTAAGTTATTGTAGTTGGTGATTCCGTTTCGATAGCTTCTATTATTCTTTTTACTAAAGTTTCTGGTTTCATTTTTAAGAGGGTATAATTTAAATGATTTTTCTATACGAATCATCCGTCTGTCGGATATTTTAATTAGATGTTTTGCTTCTTCCAATAATAAACAATAACCGGTTACATCTCCTTGTGTTTTTTCAATATAAATATTTATATTTATTAATTATATCTTCTTGATGAGCTGATAGATCAAAACAGAAGATTGGGTGATTAATTGCAAAATAATTCACACATATTTTTATAGTTTCTCTACAATTAATTATAATCCTTTGCGGTTGGATTAATTGTTAAAGGTTGGTTAGGATAACTATCATTGTTTCATCTTACTTGAACTTTACGGATTATAGGATCTCGAGTTTGGTTCATTGCTACTCTTAAGATATTATTGTTATTCGTTTGAGAATCCTGTAAGTTCTTGAAACCAACCATTAAATATCTTGCTGGTTTAATAGTATAGTGATTGGCCATGTAGTGGATTCTCCAGTTAAAGTCATGCTACCTACCGTATTACGATGAAGAAAAGCTATTTCAATATCTTTAGTTAATGAGTTGAATATTCTCGTTTCTACTTCAATTGATGGTGTTATTACGGGTATGTAAAGTTGGAGATTCGTTATTTCTAATTTTGCATCTGAAGAATTCTCTCCAAAGAATATCTTCATTTGCATCATTTGGAACATTTCTTACCGGTTCTTTTAAACACTTCCATCACCAACATCGGGTATCCATCCGAAAACAGAATCGTTGTTTTTGGGATATAGAACTGTTTTCAACATTGTGTCAAATTCTCCGGGGTGTATAATGGTTTCTATGGGATTTGAACCAGCTTCCAAAACCATTTCAGTAAATAAAGATGGGAAGAAATTGTTTTCTAACGTTGTGTTGGTTTGTGGTACACGATTCTCACTGGGAGTTCTGTCTTTGATTTTGAAATCGCATCTGAAATAGGCATCAGACAGAAGCAACCAATTCGATAATGAATTAATCTCGAAAGTGATTACCCCCATCATTCCATCATTTAGTTGGGACCTAGAGCCTACGGTTGGTGATATGATAATGTAATCCTCTTTTTTCTTATTAAACGAATAATGAATTAGATCATATAATTGAAAGATCGGATCTAATCTGTAATTTTTCTGCCATTTTTAAAGATAGGTTTTACCCTATTATTTGAAACCATTTACCCCATGGAAATCCAGGAAGAATAACAAAAACCAAAGTAAGTTTTAATAAATACACGGAAATTTAAAACATAAACAATTATATTGATATACACTTCTACTAGGATTGGTAAGGTTCACCTCACGACCGCTCCTTCAGAATCGGTAGATATACTTTAGGGTCTTGACCTCTCCTAGAGAATCGGTAGACATAGTTCAAGGTCATTACCGCTCCTAGAGAATCGGTAGATATAGTTCAAGGTCATAACCGCTCCTAGAGAATCAGTAGATATACTTCAGAGTTATCTCCCCTCGTACAAAAAAAGGTAGTAGACATAGTTCAAGGTGATGACCGCTCCTAGAGAATCGGTAGATATACGTCACATGAATTATATCCTTTTCCAAAACGCTTGTTCTATTTTCGAAATCTGTATCAACAATTTTGAAACCTCGGATATTTGTCACAGAGTTTGGCAAGTTTATGTAATTTTCTACTCCAACTTACTGATATTGTTAACTCATTTTTCACAATTGATTCGAAATTCCCGTGAGTTAAGATATATAATTTCTGTAACCATAATCCAAAAGTAACATATTCTTTAATGGAGCGGGAGGTGGCTTGTTTTATAAATCGATCGCAGTTGATCACAATATTTTTGACAGTTTCATCCCCAGTTTTTGTAAGGTCATATGGTTCTATTGTTATGGAAATTTCTATATCATATAGATGGGCTTTAAGTTCTTTTAACAACCCTCATTGTGAGTAAGATTTTCACTAAATGTTAGATTTTTAGGCTTTTTAATAAGTTCTTCAAATTTTTCTCCAGAAAATTCTTGGCCTCTTGGTATCCATCAGTTAACAATATATCCTTCAATTGCCTGTAATGGTTTAAATGTTCTACGTGTTAAGCAATGTTGGCATCTATTTAACTTGTGTCTGGAATAAAAACAAAAAAAAGAGATATTTTGAAAACAACAAATAATCTTAATTCCACCCCGTCGTCTTATGATTAAATTAAACTAAGAACATACCTTGATTTTGCATGATTAAATTCATAATCTTTCAGCGTAACAAAATTGAGACAGTGTTAATAGTTGAGAGTTTAGTCTGTCTATGCTTACGTTGCACGCATGGTATGTTATATGTTAATATAACCGTCTGTTATTCATAGTGTGACATATATCCAGTCAACAATAGTCTGACTGACAGTTACTAGGCGTTAAAGGTATTTATTAAATCAATAATACTCTAAAAAACTAACTGTGTATAAACTAGTTGTTATTTTACTCTGAAGTAAATAAAAAAACAGTGTTACCTCCCATTAATCAGTTGAGATTTTTATCCAATAATTTTAAAACCATTACCTTTTTTATTTTCTAATCTTTTATTTCGCATTTCTCTTATATGTTGTAATTCTTTCAACTCGTTTGATCTTTTCACTGTTTCGCTTTTATATTTACTCCTGCTTTTGCAACAGACCCATCAGCTTGGGCCTCTGAGGAAATAAGGGATTTGTTTGGGATGAGAGATGATAGAGCTGAGAAGAAACCGTCTCCTTCGAATTTTTTTTGTTCGTGTTTTAAAAATTCTGTTTCTTAAACTCATTCTGTTTTTAAATGAGTTGATTTAATGACGAAATCTATTGAGCAAAGAAGTATATGTATTCAGGCACCAACCCTCGGTTTTTGCTTGAAAAATTATAGTTTTTCAAGCAAAAACCGAGGGTTGAGTAGTACATGAGTATATGGATTGGGCCCACCCCTTGTTTTTACTTGAAACCTACAGTTTTTTTTTAAGTATTAACATGACTGAAAGGAGTGTGGATGCTTAAAAAAAACTGTAGTTTTCAAGTAAAAACAAGGGGTGCGCCCAATCCATATACTCATGTACTACTAGTTCACAGTAATTGGGGTGGGGCAGATTTTTGGGTGGAATTGGCACAGACTCAATCACACGGTGCATTCAGACCTGTGAATATCGCTAAAATTCCAATATAATGGGGGTTTTTTTTTATGCTCAACTGTGTTACAGGCCAGTCAATGACGAAGCCTCTACATTCCAATTTTTGATAAATGGCCGATTTTTTTTCCGGTGGTCTACTTAGGAAATATGAATAAAATTTTTGGTGCCAGCAAAGTCCTGAGATGCCAATCTGATATATTTAAGTGTACAATGGGGAGAAATTATAATTTCTAAAATATGGCCAGTGACGGATATCCAAAATGGCGGACTGGCTAGTCAAAGACGAAGCCCCTACATGGCCAATTTTTGCACAGTCCACGGTAAAGGGGTGGGGCAGATTTTTGGGTGGAATTGGCACAAACTCAATCACATGGTGTCTTCAGATCTGTAAATATCGCTAAAATTCCAACATAGTGGTATTTTCATGCCTACCTGTGTTACTGGCCAGTCAATGGCAAAGCCTCTACATGGCCAATTTTTGAAAAACGGCCACTTTTTTCTTATGGTTTCCTTTGGAATTATGGATGAATTATGGTGCCAGTGAGGTTCTGAGATGCCAATCTAATATATTTCAGTGTACAATGGGGAGAAATGCTGTTTCTATGTATTTTTTTTAATAGAACAACTAGTACCTACGGATGCTCAATTACGACATGTCTTTTATCTTTTGAATTTTGAATTTGAATTTAATATGCCTATGACCACTTTGTGCTTGCTGAGAATGCTCAAATCATTTTTCTCCTATGTCTTCGTACCGTCAGTTCGACTAATAAGGCATTAAATTGTTCTCTTATGAGGAGATTACTAGTTCATAGTAATTATCCCGAGGCTTGTGGCCATTTATCTAATGAAAGATTTGATTTGCCCTAAAAAATACCCCAACTGCCCATTTGTCTATCCCAGTTCCCTTGCTGGTTAATTTGAACCATTCGCGTTTTGAAACATATTAATAATATATATAAGTCTAAACACTCAGGGGTGGGGTTTTATTGACAACCCCTAGGTTTTCAATTAAATCTAATTTGGCCATATACCTTTTATTGGGAGTGTCTTGCTGGCCCAACGTCTGCTCTCAATATACACACAGTCTCAAAAAAATTATCATTTAATGGATTGGATTGTACGCCAGCAAATACAGCCAATCAGTGACCTCGATTCCATGCGTAATTATTTTTTACAGTCTTACTGTATAGGGCTAAGATTGGAAGCATTAGCTATGTAATTTCTCCATTCACAAACTTCCGTAAAACAAGAAAGTGGGTCATTGCAGTCAAGGTATACGATGAATACATAATACCTTGACCATTAGGAGTAGGTAATTTGTTAGTTTCCTCGACAATACAATAAGTTTTCTTCAGTTAATTCCATCTCCTTTACTTCATTTCGGGAGCCCCGGTGGCTCAGTGAGTTAGGCACCTGCTCGCTAACCTGAAGGTCCAGGATTCAATCCCGGCATAGGTCGATAAAAATACCTTCGGATTTTTCAACCCGGTTTCCCCCTGCCACTGATGTAGGTAAGATGGGCTGACATGGAAAAAGCTCCTAGTCATTCGAATGGGACAATAAATGGAGGCCCGTGTGCTACAGGTTGTGCACGATAAAGATCCCTCGACAGTTGGAAATCGAAAAAGAGCAGGCTAATGCCGCTGTCCTGGCAAAATTTCCCTCATTGTACCCTGCATGGCGTTGCCGGTCTTCATTAGCCCAAATGGTGCAGAAAAGTAGGACGTAAAATTCTATCATTTTTACTTCATTTCGTTTAGTGAGAAGCGATCTGGAACGAGGATTAAAACAGTCTAGTGATTCTTATTTCAATAATTCCAAATTAACAAATGATAGAATAATCAAGTAACTTTCACAAACTTCATTTTGAGTTGAAGTGCGATGTCTGATAGTCGTAGAGTTTTGTTTCATATTTTGATATTTTCGATATCAATATCATGCAGGTGTACATATGAAAGTTATTGGAGGCCATTTGACTACACTGGACCTGTTACATTAAATTATTATAGATTAATACCAACTTCTGGTTTAGGCCGATGTGCAAGAACTTGTTCATCTCTCTACAACTCGGATCTGATTTATTATCAAGGAGAGGATTGTTATTGTTTAGCACCAGTTTATGAAGAATCCAGTCTGGTTTCTGGAACGGTTACGACCAATAGAGAATTTTGGACGATTCGTCAAGGTATGTTGTATTATTTCATGTGGATTTTCATGGTCCGTTTTGATTCTAATGTTGATTGACAAAATTATCCACAAGATTATTCTTCAAACTATTAACCGTATTATCTTGAATCTTAGTTCCAAAACTTGAATTCGATCATCAGTATGATAAGTAGGCC